CTGAAACTTCCTCCAGCTATTTCTCACCTCCTGAGAATTTTCTGGGCCCCTAGGAAAGTTCTCAACTCTTCTAACCATCAGGAGGCAGTAAATAATGCTCTTAAATAAAATCTAGCAGCAGCCTCCGAGGTCCCCACTGTTTCTTTGACACTGGTCAAATGTAGATCATCTCTTGCCCTTTATTTCGTGATGATTTCCCTGCCAAGTGAGGCATCTCGGTGCCCTCCTTTCCACCCATACGCGTTGACTCCCAGGCTCAGTACAATCTGCTGTCAATCTTTTTGAGCTGCGAGATGCTCAGATGGTGAAGATTACTCCACTGTTGCTTCTAGCTCTTAGGTCTTCCCAAATGAGTACCTCCCTTTGAGCTCCTGGTTTCGACCACCCCGCGTGTGTGTTGTAGGGAGCAGGATTCTCGTTTTTAAAGAAAGCTGATATTATATCCCACAAAGCTGCTTTCTGCCTGGACTGACCTCACAATCCTCCACTCCTCACCTTGACACCTACCTGTCGGCCTCACACTGAACCTAAGCAGTCACTGATCGTGTCTGTATATCAGCAACATGACAGCAGGGGGGCCCCTGTGGCTCACTGCTTTTGAAGACATGTTGAAATCATTTGTCTCTGCCTTGACACTCTCTAAGCTACAGGTGGTTCCAATTTTCAACTCGTGGCAGAAACCGTAAGCCGAGGAAGCAAATAACTGTTTCCATAAACTGTAGAAAAGAAACACTCTCCTGCTACCTAACTGTGAAAGGCTCAACTTGGTACTTCCATTAACTTTTGACCTTCTTTCTAAGAAACTCATAAGGCGAGGATTCAGTTTTTCTAAGGTGACTACTGAAGACTGGGGTAGTTTTTTTTAGCAGCAGTATTGGGACCAATTTCTTCAGTATACCGGGCTGGGTTGGCTTTCAGAATCTTTCCTGTTGTTATACAGGCACATGTGAGTGGATTTCTAAGGATTCCATCCGGGTTATTATTCTGCTTGGGTAACCCATCATTATCAAGATGGTTCAAACACAAGAGACATCACAGCTATCAGTTCTATTCCTTCATTCTAGAAACGTGTGTTAGCTAAAGACAGCAGCATGTTCCAGCACCGTCCAAATTAACTGGGGCATTCCCTCTTCGGCACGGGGAATACGTTCCTGGAAATGGGAGCACTAACTGTGTCGTCTTTTAGATGATGCTCCAGTGTTGCCAGGTGGTAGAGTTTTCTTCAAATCCTCTGAAGTTATAAAATGTCTCTGCCCCCGATTTCCTCCAGCCACCAGCCATCCAACTGTTGAGAAATCATCTCAGACTGTAGCGTAGTTAGGGCACCTTCGGTAATGTCATAAAACTTACTCCGTTCCCTGATCGTCTGCTGATCCTCACTCCTGTTTCCGGAACTCTTTCCTCAAAGGTGCTGCCAGTCCCCACAACACTCCCATTTTCACATTCTGCACGCTATTCTTCCTTTATTCCTTTGTGGCAGGCCTAGCGCCATCACTCACACACATTTTATTAGCCATTATGGGTCAAAACCGTCTCCCAGGGCACGAACTAAATTACAGAAAAATCGGTCACAGAGAAGTAAATAACACACCGCGAACTCACTCAGCTGAAGTAGTTCCCCACCTCCCACCGCAGCCCACGCCGCCATCTCTCACCTGGCTTATGGTACTAGCCTCCTAACTCATCTCCCTGAGGCTAGCCTTGCCCTTACCAGTTATTCTCTATGAGCAGCCAGGGTATTCCTTTAAAAATGATAGCCAGGTCACATCACTCTGCTCAAAATCCTCCAATGATTTCACTTTCGCTAAGAGTAAAACCTGAACTTGGCTTCACTCTCTTCAGGTCTGTGCTCCAATGTCCCCTTAATGACAAAGCCTCCTCCAAGCACCCCACGTAAAAGAACAATTTCTCCACCCCCGCCCCTGCACCACACTCCCAATTTCCCCCATCCTGCCCTTTTCCCCATCCACAGCACCTATCACCATATTGCATGTTATATATTTATTTGTATAATGTATGGCAGATGCTATTTTCCAAGATGGCCACAAGATTTCCCATTCCATGTACTTTTTTTACAATATGATGTTTCTACTACCCCCTTTGAGAGATGTTCTTCACACCCATTGAATCAAGGTGGTCCTGTAACTGTGGCGGAAGTGATACTTTGTGACCTCTGAGGTTAGGTCGCAAAAAGCCTCACAATCTCAGCCTGGTCCTCTTAGAGCACGCAATCTTGGAACTCAGCCACTATGATATGAGGAAGCCCGGGCCACATCGAGAGGCCAACAGCCACCTGTTCTGGCCAACAGCCCCAGCTGCAGTCCGAGCCAACAGCTACCAACTTCCAGACGTTTGAGGAAGCTTTTGAGATGACTTCAGCCCCAGCCACTGTGTGAGACGCCAAGTGAGCACGGCTTAGCTTAGCCTAATTGTCTCCCAGAACCATGAGAGATAATAAAAAAACTGTTTTTGTTCTAAGCCACCAAGTTTTGGAGCCATTTGTTACTTAACAGTAGATATTGGAACAGTTTGTTTATGTGAATATTGCATCTCTCTCCCAACTAGGGTGTGTTTCACGAGCTTAGGGATTTTGTTTGCTTTATTGTTGTATTCTCAGCACCTAGAACAGTGCCTGGCATATATGGCAAGTACTCAATAAATATTTGTTGAATGAATGGATGCAGGATGCATTTTCAGTATGGCGTGCCAGTGGTTTATTGGTCAACAGTACACAGTACAGTCTGCTGGGCTAGATCTCATTGGCAGAGAGCATAAGTTGGCATTTACCGCACAGCAACATATGTTTCAACAAGAATATTTCAGAGGCAAATAACATTATGATAAGTTATAATAATTACTTCGGGAAAGCATAAAATAGAATTAGAACTTAATGCAGAATTTGTCTTTTGTAGTTATTCCATAATCTTTCCATAGGCTTTTCCAGATCAGGTCTGGAAAGGCTTCAGAAGTATTTTCAAAAGGATTAGCGATTCTTTCAATTTCCAATAATGAAGTTCTCCCGAGAATGAATCCTTAAAATTACTCATATGTTTTTGGTATGAAATTAGGTGAAGCAGAATGAGAAATGGGCACGCGTGTATACGGGCGCATGATTTGGAATGCTTACGTCCACCACCCATTTTGGTCGTGTGAGTGGAGTGTGTACGTAAAAGAAGGAATGGGTATGATTCTGGGTCTCCTCAATCTTGCACCAATACTGTGATTTAGCCTTTGGCTTGGAGCACGTGGTTGTGGTTGCCTAAAGAGCAATGATATCCTTAAACGTCCAAGGAAAATAACATTGTATCATCTCGGGAGAGAAAAAAGGACATATTTTCTTGACTCCCTGGGAAAGAGGGTAGTTTTTGTTTGGGGAAAATAACAAGTGGACAGTGTTGCATGGACTAATCAATTTCTTTGGGCCAATCCATCTCAGCCTTGATTGAAGCAAAAAGCACAGATGTGAAGTCTATAGTTTCCTAGAATCGATTATCTTTGCCGAATCTATTCACAATGGTTTCAAAGCAGTTTCATGCAGTAGTCACCCTGATAAGCAATCATGTGTGACTTCTTTTCAGAATCCAGAAGGGTTCAATATGGCCTTTGAAAGTTCTTCACTTATGGCCACTACCATAAGGCTACTTGGCCGAACGTCTCTTGAGGAAGAGTGCCATTTTGCTGCCTTTGTTCCAATGACAGTTGTTAGTGCCATTGGCCTTCACCATCTGGCCTGTGGCATCTTTTCCCCTCTTGATTAGGTACAAGCCTTGAGTGGAAAGTGGGGAGAATCCCCAAATCTTCCCTGGAAAGTCCAGGCAAGTGAACTGGGGAAGATTTCCTTTGGCAATCCCATTTTTCTAACCCAAATTTAGATATTACTTTTGAAGCTAATTATTCTTTATTTCATTTAAAAAAAAAAAAAAATGTTTTTATTTATTTATTTATTTGCAGGCCCAGGCAAACTTGACTGGAAAAGAAGCCCGGGCAAGGGTTAGGATGAGCCCATGACGTGCCACGCGCCCCAACC